ATCATCCGAGCCAAGATGCCATAGTACTACTAAGTTAGTAGGATCAACTTCGCCTGCGCGCTCGATAGAAAAGTCAATTCCGACGACACGTGTCATTAGTACAATCAATTTCGCCGGCATGTCTGGATTAAGTTCAATTTCGACGAAAGGCGGGAATCGATTCCGCTGATAGTATAATTGCAACGACGTATAAATCGCATACGAACCACTCGACAACATGTTCACCCGAGTGGCCGTGTTGATTCCATAATGAATTCAATTCAATTTCTGTTTTCAACTCTATTTCAATTTTCATGTTCAATAGGATCATGGATATCTGTATATCGTTCAAAGTCTGATTTTCACAAGGAGATAGTAGATGAGGCTATAATGGAAATTGACATGGTGTTTCAAATCGATATCAGCATCATATCTTTCAAATATATTTGCTGCGAAGTTCTACATCAAGCTGATCGTTAAGAATGATTTCGCGGCCCGGGCAGCGTCCCTTCATTGGGACCTGTCCGGGACGCATGCAACTTACATCTTCATTCTCAAATGTCTACATCCACATTCAGGCTGAATGATTCAGCTGGATAGCACGATTATGATGTCTTACATGCTGTATAGAGGTTCATTTTGGAGCATTGTATATGATGGGCCGTCAACGTTTAGTCTATCATGTGTGTCCTTATGATTGACTACTTCTCAACTCAATTCATTTGACTTCGTGTTGATGACTAGCAGCTGAGCTGCGAGTGATCCTAGGTCAATTCAGGGTTCCACCTTACCGTTCCTCACGTTTGGTAAGACTTCACGACATGCCTTGAGTGCACCTTGATGGGCGTCGTGAACCATAGTAGTGAAAAAGGGATGTAGTAATAGAAGCAAATACGATATCAATCAAACGGCTCCGGGATGTACCTGAAACTTAATGGTAAAAATGCTATAAAGAGTGTGGTCGACTCACATGAAAAATTCCTCCTTATGACAACGACGATGATGATGACGATGATGACGATGACGGCATCGAAGAATTTGGCGGCATAGATGGATACGGGGATGGCGATGAGGGACTACTAGGCGTGATACCACCGTTGAAGCTGTCTTCGAAATCCCTCGTTAAATTCACTTTAATGTGTGAGTAGTTGGCGACGACATCTTCAGGCTCCGTAAGCTCTATTTTACCTGACCGATCAACAATTGCACGACACGGTAAGAGGGGAAGCAAACTTCCCGAACCCGAACAGCATGCTAAAGATTACCCGTAGCAAGCGAGGGGCGGAACTTATCACGGCACTGCTGCCCTGAACGGACCGCCCTCTGTATTGATTTATTACGGAAATAGCGATGACTAATAAGAGCCCAATTGAAGCCGAGACTCTCGGCCCGAGAGCCTCCACCCCGGCTATGAGTAACATGACTTCGGAGCGGGACCAAAATTTATACGTCCTTAAGGGTTTACCAGAGGAAGATTTACCTTTGCGAGAATTGGTTTTGGAATGAGCACGCTTGTTCTCATCATTGGCACCATGACCACACTTGTCTGCTTCGTCTCCCTCACCATCCTCCTTCTCCTCCTCGTTGTCGTCGTCGTTCCTTCATTCTCTTCCCCCCCCCAACATAGTCCGGGTCCTTACTCTTATCGTCGTAGTATTCGTCGTCGTCGTCGTCGTTGTGATGATGAACAGCAGTAGTACTTGGTCTGCCCCTACGGCGACGTTTTGCAGGGGGTTTGAAGAAAGTGGAAGGGGGAAGTGACCCCAGAGCCGAAATCTGATCAAGTGAAATACCGTGTTCATCAACAGACGGTCATGTTGTTGTGGTAGTCTTAGTAGCAGCGGTTGAGAAAGGCCTCTTAGGAGCAGAGGGGTTGGCGGACGACACCACATTTGGAAAAAAAATACTTGTTGCTGTCATTGTCGTCTTGGTAATAATAACCGTCGTCGTCATCTTCATCGATGGCAAGAAGGTACTCGAGCATCTAATAAATCAGGCAATAATCCACAACGAAAGCCGAAACAACTAAGACTATTGTAGTCGATGAAAGACTAAGTCATAAACTTACCGCATCCTCCGGGATGTCGAGCTCAGGTTCGGGTTCTGCCACGGACATCGACGATTGAGACGACGATGAGGACGAAACCGAGATAATGCATACATTATCCACCACAAGAGGAAGGTTAGAAACAAATGAAGATGTTGATGATGATGGTGATGATGACACAAACGACGGCGAAGTTGGTGAACAGCGGGATGGTGAAGACATCACCGATTGACGGCTCGACGGGGGGCGATACGTTGACAGGCAAGAGGGGATATAACCCGAAGCCGGAGGCCGTGTCTTGGAAACCCCTCTACTTGGCCGATAAAGATACTCATCTGGAGCTGACATTAAACGAACACTAACCAGAAATTACACTGACACAACATAAAAACGACATGATTAAGACACTAACAAAACACTAACTACTACTGATGGCATCAAATAACACACAAACTAAGTGCAAAAGTAACATACCGACTACGCACGACACTATCGAAACTGTTCTTAACGACACAGATACACGCCTTCTCACACAGACCACCACCACCAGCAAAGAAGGCTACAAGCAATCACTTAAGTGATAATAAGAATACCGTAAGCAGGAAACAAACTTAGCAAATCCCGACTTGATACTACAAGGCTTGTAGTACAAGCAGTGCAGCGAAGAGGGAGTAGTGACGAAGAGACGACCGACTGAAACAACGCACAAGGGAAGAGGCTCTTCCGAAGAGCCTACCCGACCACCCCGACAACGGCAAAGAAACCCGCATGCACCACCAACGAGGCTGCCACACTACTCTATTAACTGCAGTCGTCATAAACCTGAAAGACAATGTATGGCGAAACGTCAATAGTGTGAGTAAGCATCATACGCAGTTGATCGACCAAAAACCGTAAGGGAATGTGAACGTACAACACAGTCATATTATTATTGTTGAAGCTCGATGGAAGCAATAACTGACACCGAATACTACAGGGGATGACTGGATACTATCTAAAGCATCATAACTGCTGCCGCCAAACACAATAGAGAAATCAACGAGAGGATCAAACGTCTGGCGAGGCCCTCTGTGGACGAGATAAGCATCATAGCGCCAACGAGAGTAAGACACGGTTTGGGGTGAGGGAGAGTCGCGCTCGACTCGTGTAGAGGAGGTGGAGGACGGGGCGGAAGGAGGGCAACCCGGAGTGGCGGTAAAGGCATCACTTTCAGTAGTAGATCCATCTGGAGAGTTGTACTGAGCATTTTTCCTCCCATAAATACCGTTATACTCGTCAACAGTGGCATCGTCAGAGGCAGGACGCTCAGTAGGAGTACGAAAAGAACCTGACAAACCGAAGCACATAAAATTGTAGCATCCCGATTGTAACTCACGTTTGGAACCGCCACTAGGGAGCTGGGAAGTGGCAGCTAAGACTGTCTTGCGAAACTCTTCGCTGAAGAACCGACACGATACGCAAGAGCACCGGGTAGGACGTGGCACTCGTTGGACCGTGATGGAGAGATGAAAATCGGCAGTGAGCGTACACGCACCTTCGTCTTCGGGATATGGACTCTGAAACAAAGGAGGCAAATTATTAGTGACAGTAGTAATAAGCACAGAACCTCGAACCCGAACGATAACAAACCGAGTCTCACCCGAACCCAAGTAAACTTGTAATGTTTACTTATCATCATCATGTCCAACAAACACTGACAGTCATTGACTCTCAAAATGGATTCCTCGCTCGACACGAACTAGCTCTATCGTACGAAGTATTCATCATTCGTGACTCAAGAGAACTAGGCTAGGCTTAACTGCAGATTAACACAGACTAGTATCACCGTCGAAGGCAGGTAAGCGATTGCCGCTTTGGGTCTGCCGGGCCGACTTTGCCGTTGAGCGGATGAAGCAGTTTAAT